CTGAGTTGGTGGTGACTCCAGGTTCTGCCTCGCTCCTTCCCCTTTGTTTTGCTGCCTTTCCAGCAGCAGGAAGGATCTGTGGGTTTAAAGGAAGGGAAGGGAGAGGAGAAAAGGCAGACAGTGAATGGAGAGATGCTTTGCAGGTCTTTGAATCCCTCCTGGTCACCCCAGGCATGTCAGAGGAGACTCAAGAGGAGCAGGAGCTCGGGGCCAGAAAGGGATGGCTTGGAGGAGATGAAGGCCATTGGATCATTGGGAAGGAAGGAAGGAAAGGAGGATAAGCAGGAGGAAAATGGGATTTTTATAAAGCCCCCCTGGACAATCCTGATCAGCCGAGGAGCTCCGTGGGTGAGGGTGCAGCACACACTCCCGGGTGCGAGGTGTGCAGCGGCTGCTCCAGTTTGCTCTCTCCCTGTGCTCCCTGGTGTTCCCGTGCTGGAAGCAGCCCTGTAGCTCCCCTGGTGTAGCCAAAGCCCTCCTAGGTGAGTGTCTGCAGCAGCCTGGGCCGGAGCAGATCCGTAACCTCTCTCTCTTGCGGTGTCTCACCCACTCCTGCTCCCAGAATGAGGATCAAGGTCTTCGTAGACGTAACGAGCGAGAGTGGACAGTAAGTTTGGGTTTGGTTCTCCCTTTCCTCTGTCTCCTTGTGGGCATCTGTTTGTCACTGCGCCCCCAGGCACTCCCAGCCTCCTGCATCCTCTCTGGGATGAGAATTCCAGCCCTGAGGAAGGGGTGGTTGAAACCAGCCACTCTCCCTCGTGTCTTCGCCTCCCGTTCCCAACAGATTCTTGGGCTGCTCCCACTGCTCCCAACAAGGCAAGAGCTCCCTAATCCATCTTGGGAGGTCTCGCCTCGTCCTCCCCAGGGTGGGGAATTTTATTGTCAGCAAAAGGACAGTAATCCTCCAAATCCAAATTTGGAAATCCTCCCAGTCTCTCTGAAGTAAAAATAAAGCCAGTCATATGGTGCTTTGAAGGTGTAATCTCCCTGCTAAGACACACCACAGATCAGGGCAATTTAATTTTTTTTTATGCTTTTTTAATTATTTCCTCCCCCTTCACTTCCCCACACTCCAGCTCTCCATTTTGCTTGGGAATCTCTTGTCCCTGTTGCAGCAGGAATAGCTGGAAACCATCAGACTTGGAATCAAGAACACAACAAATCAGTGACCAGGGTTCAGATTCCCATTTCCAGATGGCAGGAGAAATAAAGCAAAGAGGTCACTCCTTATTAGCTTCCCATTTTTAAATGAGGATATCAGCCCTGCCTTGACTCCAGAAGGGTGGAGAGGAGGATTTGGGAGAGAAACAGCCAGGAGGGAAATGTTTGGGATGATTGATGGTGTGAGGTGCTGTAGGAACATGGACCAGGTAGGTACCAGAGGCAGCAGGGGAAAAGCATGCTCGAGAAGGAATGCAACGTTCTGAGCAAGATTTCTGCATAATTAATACTTGCATGTGTCTGAATGCATCCCTCACCACAGGTACTTGGTCTGTATTTTGGGAATTTCAGCTCAATCTTTTTATTTCCTGAACCCAGGGGTGAGTCCCTCTGTCCCACCTGCCCTCAGTTCTGTCCTCACAGGAGCCCAAGCTCAGGTTCCTGCTCATCCCTGACACATCAGTGCTCATTCTTTACTCAGCACAGGGATTATCCAAGAACTCCATCACAGACAAAGCACCAAACAGAGCAGGAACCTGCCTGGAGATCCCTAAAATCACAGCCATGCTTGGAAGTGGAAAAATAACTCGAATACCACGAGTAGGGAGTTCAGACCCAGGGGAGGAGAGGATGTGAGGCTCCCAACACCAGGAGGAAATAATTATTTTTTTGGTTCCCAGTGTATTTTCTGTCCCCCAACACCCTCAGCCTCTGCCCTGGCTGGTGCACAGTGTGACAGCAGCTTTGTGCTTCTGCTGCTCCTTCCTGGCCATCAGTCTGTGCTGCATCCCAAAATTCCAAACCGACAGACGAGGGAATAGTCAGGGTAGTGGCAGCCCAAAATTTCAGGAGTTTTGAGCAGCAGGGGCTTTTTCTCAGCCAGGAAAACACAGGTGAACACCTTCCATAAGTGCAAAAATGTGCTTACCATGAGCTTGGCCAAGCAGACAAAACCATTACCCGTCCAACTCTCACCTGTAAAATCTTCAGATTTCCAAAAACCGTAGCAGAGAAACCCTCAGGTCACTGAGAAGGAGTTTTTCACTTTCAGACCAGTAGGAACTCATTATTCCAAGATGATTAAAAGTACAGGACATGGTCAGCTGCCTCACACCTCCTGCTACCCAAAGAAATGTTCTGCAAATAGAAGAAAAGATGGAATTGGGTGTGGAGGGATGGAGAAGGGTTGAGTTAAAGTCATGGCAGAAATGAAAGCTTCCTAATTCAATCAAATAAAGCCTGTTTAAAGGTAATCTGCCAGGCTGTCTGAAATGGAGAGATTGCTGACATCCCCTTTAATCAAGCTCTTGGAAATAAAACTGAGAGGGGAGGATGTAACCCAGATAATGAAGAATTGCATGGAGTCATGCTGGAGACAAAGGCAAGTGGGAGAAACCAGGTGGGGGAAGGTGGTAGAATCATGTGCCAGTTCAATTTAATTAGTTCATTATCCCTAATTTAATTTCAAACTTCGTTAAAGATAAATTAGATTGGGGAGAAGTCACAGTGGGACTGGGGAAGGAAGTCAAAGGGCGCCGGCTGCGAGATGTGTTAAAAAACACCAGGCTGGTTTTGTTCTCCTCCCTTTTGCCACGCTGTAAATGAGTTCAGGGAACAAAGCAGGAGCAAAGCAACTCCCAGCTCAGGTGCTGAGGAAAGCTAAAAGGAGAGAGGGAATTCTCTTCCTTTGGCCCTGACATTCTCCAGCTGCCCTGCCCTGACCCCACCTATGAGGAGTGAGCACAAAAGAGGGGCCAGCAAGAAAAGAAGGATTTGTTTGCACTCACCTGTGCAAACAGAAGTGCTGACAAAACTGCACTGGGTGTCTCTGGCAATGCCTCACGGGCGCCTGTCTCGCAGCCACATTAACTGGGAGATAAGCAGGAAGAAAAATGCTCTGCTGACCCCGTATATTGTCACAGACAGCCTGTAAAAGAGTGTCTCACAGCCCCTTTTGCTGCCACCTGATCACACCCAGCTCAGCTTCCACTTAGGTTAACTGAGGATCTCTCCTAGGAGACCTTTCTGTCCATCAGACCTGCACACAGCACTAGCAAATCCTCTGCTTTTCTCAGAAAGCACAGAAACTTCCCCTCCCAATTAATTGATAACAAATTACAAGAAACTCTCTTGCTTGCTTTGTCTTACTAAATTTCTGTAATTAAGACAACTTCCCTTTCAGGTTAGCTTAACCCAGAAAATTAAAGCAGGAGGAGAGCATGGCTAAATACTCTAGATTTTTCCCCCTTCCAGGTGTGGAAGGGGATTGTGTTGAGTGTGACAGTTCTTAAGAGTAGGTTGTACAGGGAGAGGACTTTACACGTCCCATGATCCCTGTACGTGAGTCCCTTTTTACCTCTTTTTATCAGCAGAACAGCAAACATTTATTTAAGGTTAAGGTAGAGTTAGTGAGGCTTTTTCATGGCCCCTGGCTTGGGCTCCTCTGGTTAAAGGGCTCTAATGCTGCACTTATCCACATTTTTACTTGGCAATTAAAAGGCTTAAGTGGAAAAAAACTGTGGGAACGGCCCACCCAAATTTAGGATCCCAGCACAGCAACTCCACTGCTGGCTTTTAAAAGCTCAATCTGTTGGATAAACAGTTTTGCCAGCAGAAATGAAAATGAGGTTGACCTCAGCACTGCTGCTGTTTTCCTGGGGCTCAGGCAAACTTTCCCTCACTGGGCTCAGCCAGACTGTTCCCAAAATTGCCTCTGTGCCTCTCCCAGTGGTATGAGCCATCATTAAATTATTGTCAACACCTTGTTTTCTATAGGATTTTGGTTTTTTAAAGCATCCTGGTGAAATATTCATCCAGGAGCTGGCAGCAGATGAGCCATGAGTGGATTGTTCTGTTCCTTTAGGCGTTTTCTCCTGAGGGCCAAAGCCTTGTCCTTTCCACTAAACTGACTGTTCCTGGGATTTTGAAAGGGAACAAGGACGGGCTCCAAGGGCAAGTTGCTTGCTTCAAACCACAAGTATCAGAACGTTTTCCAGCGCTGCTTGCTCCCTCTTGGAGAAGAAATTATCTCCTGGTGAGCGCCCCTGAGCGCAGGCTGGTTTAAAAACAAATGTCCATCCTGCTTGGGTCATCCTGCAGTGTTTCCAAAGCAGGAAAAGGTCTGGGAGCAGGGAGGAATCCTTCCCATCTGCTGCCACCCTCTGGGGAGCTGCAGTCCTGGGATGTGGGAGAGATGCTCCCTTGACCCCAGCAGAGCAAAGCATCCACACACAGAGGGAAAAGCACGGGGCCGACAGAGCAGGCTCGGGTTTGCAAGTGATTTTGTGTTCTCTGTAGTTGATTTGACTCACAAAACCCACCCCGAGGCTTCCCGGGGAGCTGTTCACACAGGTAAAGCCCAGCACTCCTGTCTCACACATAAACAACAGGCACAGTAAGCTTATTCTGCATCCCAAGCCCCAGGTAGGACACACGTGCCCTTTAAATGGAAGAGCACAGGCCTGGCTTGGATTAATGATGTCTTCAAGCACTGCTTTTCCAAAACTCAGGTCAGAAAGCGTAGAAATAAACTGCCCTTCCTCTGGCTGGCTGCTTGTTTAGTCCAGAGAGCAGAGTATTTACAGACAAGGGACAAACCATGCCCAATCCATACATATTCATCAACGATCTGGGTATTTCAGGCAGAGAGACGGAAACTTTGCAGCGTGAGGATTTATCACCCGTGTTTCCATTTTCCTGAAGCAGCGAGCTCGGTAAACTAGTTAATATTCCATCCTGCTTGCTCTCTGTGTGTCTCAGCAAGGAGCTGAAGAGCTGTGTGTGTTTTCTGGCCGTGGATCCCGGAGTTTTCACCCGTTGACTTTTGTCTCTACTTGCAGAACTTTGGAAAGTGTCACTCAGAGATATCGAATGCGAGTGATTACCTGACCCGCTGTTACTCACATGAAGATCGATATCTGGAGAAGATCCCTCATGTCTATGCCCCCTTGTCAGACCTCCCACAAGATCTTTATCCTCACCATTCCGACATCTCCTTCTGCTGCCCACCTCCCGGCTCCCGGGCTCCTTACATCTGTCCTAAGGAACAGTATGTTTAAAGTGTCAACACTGCAAAAAAAAAAAAAAAAACAAAAAAAAACAAAAAAAAAAAAGAAACTCATGGTTTTCACCTCTCCTGTCGCTCAACAACCAAGGCCTTCCAGCCCTCCCCTCCCTTTGCCATTGCTCATTTTATTGATTGGTTTTTAAACCCGGGTGCAATTGCCATGATTAGTTCCAAGTGTCTGCCTGGCTTGCTAACGCTCAAGGGAACACTCTGCCTTCTCCCACGTCCTCTCCAGTACCTGCATCTTTCTTTTCTCCTCCTGGCTCTGTGTGTGCATGTGTCTGTGGGTGACAGCTGCCCTGTGGTGGATGGGATGTGCCCAGCCCAGTCCAGTGTCCGTAGCTTTTCCCCTGTGTCGATTCCTGCACTCTCCACACATGTGGATCATTCCCAGCCCTCGCTGCAGCTTCTGTGAGGTTTTACAGCACAGCCAGTGCTCAAAGATGAGCCTGTGGCTTTTTATGTCTTTTTTTATGGGTTTTTTTTTTTCCCTGCTCCTTTTCCCCCTTGGAAGTGGGGATAGCAAATCCCCGTTTGTGAAGAGCTGAACAGCCAAGATTGCTGAACCAAATCATAAGATGCTTATAACGAAAGATGCTCAAAACCGACCCAAAAATAGAGATCAGGACTTGGTTTAGGCAGTTTGTTTCTGTCCTTTTCCCTTCCTGCTCCCACTCCCAATCTCTTGGATTGACTCTTTTAAAGGGGACATATTTTGGAGTCAACACATTTGGAGAAAGCATCCTTTAAATAACAGGTCTGATAACCTGAAACCCAAAGGAGAAAATAATTATAAAGGAAAACATTCTCTCTAATTTTCCTTCCAAAGCCTAACGTGGCCCCCCACGAGCTTTTCCCCCTTCTCTTCCTCGCATCTGTTGATTGGAATTTTAAAATTAACTCAGGCAGAATATAAAGAATAAATCAGGATTTCAGGTAATCTCCTTGCTCTTAATGAAGGATAAAAGCCAATAGAGGAATTTGGCCTTTTAACTTTTATAAAAGCATCTTAGTTTTGGGACTACACCTTTTTTTGATATTGGAATGTGTGTGGGTGTGTAAATCCAAACGTGTACATTCCTGTGACCACAAAGTGTTTTAGAGAAGGGAATTTATCTCCACATCACATTTGTGTTCACTTGTATTAGAGAAAAAAAAAATAAATATCGTTATACACTTCAATGTATATAAAAGCAAAGAAGAGGAAGAGGAGGACAAGGAATGAACATCCTGCCTCGGAGCTTGGTTTCAGGGATAACTCCCACCTGTTTCACCCATGGCATGGAAGAGGTGAGGCTGGGATGGTTCTGAACAAAGGGATAAAGCTTTGTGGCCAGAGGGCATTTCCTTGGCTTTGGCTCAGGGAATTTCCTTTGCTTTGCGAATCTGGCATTCTGCAGACACTCAAATCCCTCTGGAAAACGTGAGGATGCTTGAGCTGAGGGCATGTGGGAGGGAGAGGTGGGCACCACACCCTTACCCTGCTGCCCAGGCACCCAAAACCTGTCAGTGCTGCTGGGACAGGTGAGGAATGAAACCCCCAGCAGGTGACAGCTCCTGGCAGGGGACGTGTGACCACACAGGTGTCCCAGCCCAGCTCCTGCACCGAGGCACCCGTTTATCTTTGCCTAGCTGGATCTCAGCAGCTCTGCCTGTTCCCTGCCCTTGCTGTGTCCCTGTCACCTCGTCCTGCCTGTCCCTGCTCCTCCCCACATGCATCACTCTGCTTCCCTGCAGGCTGACAAACACCTCTGGGTGTGGGAGAGGGGTTTACACCCTGCACAGCCCCGTGGGGGATGACACCACGTGCATGGATCCCCCAGAACAGCAAAAACAACCCCCAGCTCTTCCCAGCCCTTCCCCAGTGCCGGCTGCCACTCTGTGCCCGAGCAGGACAAGGTTTGTGGGGGGAATTGCTGCTCCTGGAGAGGTGTTTTCCTGCTGGGAGGTGGCCTCACACTGAGTGACAGGTGGGTGCATCAGCTGAGCCAGCTGGGGGTGCCTGGCTGGCTGAGGAGTGGATGAAGGGGAATTTTTGATGCATTTTTTGGCCAAGCTGGAATGGGCGGCAGCAGCTCTGCCATGTGCTGGTGCGTGGAGCACCCTCGTTCCCAAGGATCAGGGGAGGATCACCAGGACACAGCCTTAGAGCACTCCACACAACTTTTCAATCCCATCCTGCCAGTCCTGACTGATGCAAAGCTTTCTGGAATCATTTGTAGTCACATTTCCTCTGCCAGTCTCCAGAGGATTCAGCCGGTCGTTCCCTCACACCAAAGGACTCCAGTGCTCCAGGTCTCTGTCCAGAAAATGCATTTTTCTCTCTGGTTTTCTCCCCTTGGGTTGCCACAGAGCTGGAAACTGGGTGTGCTCTGAACTGAAGGCACAGCCCCCACATTCACCCACGCTGAATCTGCCAAATCTGCCTTGGCTCCCTCTCTTTGGAAAGGTGAGGAGGTGCTGGAAGCCCCACGGGTCTCTGATGTCCTGGAATCAACCCAGCACCACTGACCATGAGGAAAAAGCAAGCAAAAATCCATTCCAAGCTTCCCTACCTGCATGCCTGGAACAGCAGAGCGCTGCCTGTACTGTGGTTTGATTTTCACCTGGTGTGGTTTCAGACAGATCCAGGAATTTAAATGAGAGGTGGAATATGTTCAGGTCTTCAGATACAAGAGGAAAGAAGCCAGACAAAATGATTGCTTGCCAGAGGAGGCTGAGAACACGTTGCAGGTGGTTTTCTCTGCTGCCCATGTCTGGGACAAAGATGCTTTGATGAGCAAGGGGAAGGCAGGGATACAAACTGCAGCATTACAGAAAAACTCTGCTTGCCTTGAGCAGCTTTGAATCCGAGCTGCCCACAGAAGTCTGCCACAAAGGGTTTTACTGGGCTTGCAGCAAAGCAAAAGGATTTCAATCCTCCTTGAAAAGGTAAAAGGCAGGAGAAGCCTCAGTTCAAAGCACTAGTTTGACTTGTGCCAGAACAGGTATTTAGTCTAGGAATGTCTTGGTTTTCTCTGCCTCTCCTGAAGAGCTGGTTTGATTTCAAAAAGTGGCAAGGGGGGACTCGCCACAGGACAACAAATTCCTCTGCGCCCTAAGAAAAGGGGGGAAACCCTGAAGGACAACCCTGAAGTAAGAAATAGTGAGTCCACTGCTTTGGTTTTACAAATCTGTGCTCGGAAATGGTTCTGATTCAGGGCTCTTGTTCCTCTCTCCCTTTCCCTACTGTCACACAGAGTTTGCCCAGTGGCTCTTCCCAAACTTCCCTGCGCCTGCTGCCACGGGCTAAATCCTCACTTTGCTCCACGATAAGGCTGCCCATGCCTGGGGGGAGCTTGCAGGTGCTGGAATCAGGGCCAGGGGGAGGTGTTCTCCTGCTGACACGGTGCCAATTGACTTTGAAGATCCCTGCTCTGGAGACTGAGCCGTCCAGCAGCGCTGCTGGGCGTGGATCACTGAACAAGTCCAGCTGTGGAAACTGCTGGAGTGGGATCCAGTGGGCTGGGAGGAACTGGTGTTGTAGGACAGAGAATCATTTAGGTTGGAAAGACCTCTAAGATGGAGCTGTTCTTCCTGTTACCAGGGTGAAATGTCGCGGGTTCTGTTCCGTGTGTTGGTGGCACTGACACCAGAGCTCTTGCAGATGGAAAAGACTGATCACAGAACTTAAATAAAAGTGAGCTGAAGAGTTACAGCAACTTCTGTCCTGCCTGTGGGGCCTGTGTGGGGTGTTTGATGTCTGCCTTGCTCCCAGGGCTGCCTTCTTGCTGATTTGTCTTCCACACCCCTCACCCCTTGCACTGCACCCCCAAAATGCACCCACAGGCACTCCTGCCTTCTCCCAGGAGTTCCTGCCTGTTCCAGAGGCTCCTCAGGACTGGAATAACCCACTTTTCCTGCTGCATCCCTCCCTGCCTGCAGCACAGGACCCAAAGGTAAGCAGAGGAGCAGAGGTCAGTGACCTCCAGGGCGACGGCTGCTGCACTTCCCTGCCCTGGTTCTGCTCCCAGAGCAATCAGGCTGCCCAAAAAATGCCAGCCTCGCTTCACTTTGCTTGGGAATCCTCCTCCCAGCCTCCCCTGAACGTGGGTGGGACAGATCCAGTCACAAACAGCCAGTCCTCAGGGCCAGCAGCTATTTAGGGAAAGAAAAGGGGGGTTCCTCCTCCTCCCCAGCCCACTTCTCATGCCACGCTGATTTCCTGGTGCAGGCACTCTGTGCTGGTTCCAGAGGCAGGGAGACAACAGGGTGTGAGCCCAATCCAGCTGAACACTCAGAACTTCCTCAGGAGGTTCCCTATCAGACACAGTTGATCAATAAACCGTTTATTGGTGGCATTTTTTTAGCACTAACTCTGAGAATGAAAAAGACCCAGGATATTTCTTACCAGCAAAGCTGCACTGTACAAGGATGGAGCCTCTGCCTCTGGGTAAAAGCCCTTTGGAACAATTTAGCCACAGATTTGGGGTTAAATTGAGGGATGGGGCATAGAGAGAGGGTGGAGGGTCTGAATGCTCCTGCACCAGCAGCAGCCAAAGCTGGTCATGACTGGGAAGGGTTTATTGGGCTGTGGCAGAGGAGCTGACACAATTCTGCTGAGAACTCCAGAGTTTCTCTGGGCTGCTTCTCAGAAATATCAAGGAGAGAGAACGTTCTCCTCAGGGCCAGGATATCACACAGGATGGTGGGAGCAGAGTGCTGGCAATGCTCTCCTCAGTCTGCACACAGACAGGTTTATCCTGCATTTCTGGATCCTGGCATCTCCCTCCAGGACTGTGTTTACTTCCCAGGAAGGGGAAAAGAATCTGGATTTACCTCCTGCATGGCAGTTTTTAAAACATTTGCCCACAGACTGCCACCAATGCCCATCTCAACGTGGTCCATGGGAGCTGAAAAGTCCCACCAAGACCCAGTGTGGCATCAGAAACACCTTGCAGGGGTGAAAGCTGCCCACTCCAATGGGAAAACACATCCATTCC